TCAGATGCCACCCCTGTCCCCTGTATCCACTCTCTGGACGCCACCGACATATACACGACTTTGATGCTCAAATAGAGGCTGCACATAAAGAGAAAACCAGTCAAGATAAACAACTGAGAGAGATGGCAAGAAGATAGATATTTTCAGCAGTGCCTCTTAGTACAGCAGACACAGGGAGGAAACTTTGTATGGAAGGGGTTTTAAACTTTTTGTTGCTTTCCACCAGGCCCCCTTACTGTGCTTCTCTCTCTCTCTCTCTCTCTCTCTCTCTCTCTCTCTCTCTCTCTCCCCCCCCTTCCCCCTCTCCCCCTCTCCCCCTCTCTCCCTCCCCCCCTCCCCTCCCCCTTTCTCTCCCTCCCCCCTTCTCCTTTTGTCTCCTTCCCTCTTCCCCCCTTCTTCTGTAGCTGCTTTCCATCCAGCTTGCTGGGCCAACAAAACTCCTCCCTGTCCAGTCCAAACTGTATGATAGAACCTTTGATTTCCCAGAGTGGAAAGATTGTTCTTTGAGACGCTGAACTCCGCATCCCAAGCTGCTTAGCTATTCCTTGTTCTCTTTTGTTTTGCAGAACATTTGGACCTCTGAAACTTCCATGTATGAATATGCATCATGTGATTTCAGGGGTATCAAAGCACGTCTGCACAATAGTCGTGCCTCTTCCAGATTGTCTCCCTTGGTGCAGGGGAAGGAGTAATTGGAGCTCTGTAGAGGGGTCTTGGCTTTGTGAAAAGGGGGCCATGAGTCCAGTGGCTCAGCCAGTCAAACTGCAGAGACTTGACAGCAGGCTCTTGGCCACGTCTCCTAGGATTCCTCACAGGAAGGCCAGGCATTGGGCTGGAGTCTTTCCCCTGGATTTCTTGAGCTCTCATGGCTTGGTGCTCTTCCCTGCCCTGCTTTTGCTTCATGGTTGAGTTGCCTCCTTTTCCAGTTGTTCGTCTCTCTGATGATATCCCTGCACTGTTCGTGCTTGATAGTGTGTCCCAGTCTATCCCCTTCCCTCCGTTTTCCCTGTGGTGTTCCATAGCTTAACCATAGAGGATGCCTGGAAAGATAGAATTGCTTCAAGGTAGGGTGGGAATGATGCTTTAGGGGAGCTTGTGCAGTGGTTTTAATGACTTCAGTTTTCGAAAGGTTATCCATCACTTTAATTTCACTTAGTTGTGAGCCTATAGAAACGTGGTGTGCTTTGGAGTGTCTTTTGGGAAAATCTTCCTGTTCTCTTCTCATGCCTTAATCAAAAATCCTCCCAGTGCTTGTATAAATCATTCTCAGATGTTTTCCTGAGTGCCCCTTTTGGGGTAGCAAAGCATTTGATAGCCTCTTGAGAGAGTACCCTGAGAAATATGTTCCCTCCAGCACAGACCTGGGTATGTTCAGTTTAGTCTGCCTTCTCTTCCTGTCTTCTCTTTCTTCTGTGGCATTTCTGTATCTGTAGGCCTCTGGGAAGGATGATTCAAGAGTCCACATGGGGTGTCCTCCCTGCCATTGATAGAGCAAATCTGAAATCATCTTTCATCAGTTGTTTGTCTTTGTAGTTTCATTCTTAAATATCTTGGAGATGATTGAGTTAAGTTGTTTTTCTCACCGAATTTTCTCCAAACTTGTTTCCCACTCCCCTACTTCTTTCTGATTCCTTCCTACAGAAACACCCACGTTTTCCTAGCCTCAGAAGCCCCTCACTCCATCTGTCCGTCCCAGCTAGCTCTTCTCCTCTATTTCTCCTCCTTTTTGTGGCTGTGCTCCTTCAGTTCACCGTCAGGGCTTCCACTTCCTCTCATTCTCTCCACTCTACAGTCCGGCTTCCGGTCTCATCACTCAACCGAACCTCCTCTCGCCAAAGTTGGCAGCAGTCTGTCTTTGTCCTTCTTGACCTCTGCAACCTTTGACACGGGCGCCTCAACGTTTTCTCTCTAGGCTTTTGTGACGCTGTCTGACCGTGCTTCCTTTTTCTTTGTGTTCCCCCCAGCCCTCTTTGCTTTTCCCTCTGTAGTATTTTACTTGTGAGCTCATCAGCTGCCGTGGTTTCAGTTATCTTCATGATGTTCATGATTCCCCTGTCTTCTTATCCAGCCCCCTCACCTCTCTGCTGATCTCCAGTCTGGAATCTCCAGGTGCCTGTTCAGCATCTTGAGCTGGATGTCCTGTAGTCATCTGAAATTGAACGTGTTCAAAACTGAGCTCGGCTTTCTCCTCAAACCCTCCCCTCTCCTTCATCCCCCCCCCAATGTCCTCCCAGTCACCCAGGCTTGCAGTCTGTGTGTTGTCCTCACCTCCTCCCTGTCTCTCATCCCCCATATCCCAACTTTGACAAGGCCCGTGTAGCCTGCCTTTGTAATCTGTCTCATAGATGTTCTCTCCTCTCCTCTGATGCTGTCGCCACTCTGATCCAGGCCCTCATGACCTCATGCCTAGCCTTCTTACTGGTCTCTCCCTACTCCATTCCATTTTCCACTCACCTGTCGCAGGTCTGACCAGATCACCCCCTATTCAATAAACTTGAGTGGCTACCCCTTACCTCCAGTATCAAATGTAAAATCATCTGTCACTTTAAGCCCTTCATACCTCTCCTGTGTCTCCAGTCTTCTTACATCTTTTTACCCCTCCCCCCCAACACACATTATACAGTCCAGTGTCACTGACCCCCATGCTATTCTTTCCACAAGACATGGACATTTTCACTCGATGTTCTTCATGCCTGGAGTTCTCCTTCTCATCATCTTCTCTTGGCCTTCCTTCCATGTATGTACTTGTTTGTGTATTGTCTGTAAGCTCCTTGAGAATAAAGTTAGTTTTTGCCTTTCCTTGTATTTTCTATGCTCAGCCCAGTACCTGACACATAAATGTTTGTCGACTGACCGATCAGGGGGTGCACCATTAATGATCTCCCACGACTTTTTCCAAGATTTGTATCAACATATTTATATTCAAAACCAGTGTGGCCCTGGCCTGGCCCATCTCTCTGGCAAAGAGATAAAGTGTTTGCAGGCAATTGTGGGTTCTTTTAGTCTCCTTATTGTGACAACTGATTTATATTAGTTAAACTTGATCAGGAAGTAGTGATAATCTATTAATATCTGTTCTTTTATCTGTTTCCCATTTTTTACATCAGCCAGCAGCTTTTAAAAATAAATCAAGGTACATTTGCCTCAATCTTGTTCTTCTAATGTGGCACTGATTTTAATCTTTGGTCTGACCGAATGTAGCTGATTTACAAATGACTCCCTAACAGTAACAGTCAGTTGTTTCTTTCTGTTACAACCAACTGTGGTAGAGCAAATGGGTAGAAAACTAGGAAGAACAAGGTCCTAGTACCACCCTGAGCAAGTCACTCTTGGTATCCCAGGATGCCCCAAGCCTCTCACTTGCAGAGAAGGTGCTGAGCTGCATTGGAAGGGGGCATTCTTCTTTAATAACAGGCTTAGTTCAAAACCTTTGTGGGTGATATTTCCAGTCTTCTCAAAGGAAGGGTGTGCAGTGTGTAGATGGACAGTCTGTGTATTCCAAGCCTTTAGATTCCCTCCTTTCTTGTGATTGAATCATGTCTTCCACCACCCTTTTTGCTGCCCTCCCCCATGCCCACGTTTGCACTTAAGTCACCTCATATCTCAGCATATGTTCAGTTAATTTTTGGAAACTTCTTAGCCTCTTAAAAAAACATTTCAAACTCTTCCTTTTCTGCCATTGATCCTGGGGATGGTGTTTTTGGAAGGACTTGTTTTGAACACTGCCATCCCCACTGACTGTACCGTGGAAAGCTTTTGGTTGCCTTTGTACACAGCATATAATCAGCTCTGCCAACTGCTATATTTTCCTCTCCAAGGAGAGTCTGGGAGCCATTCTTCAATTGAGCTCCAGCTTTTTTCTCCTAGTTTTATTTATAGTGAGAATTTTAAGATTACTATGATTCACTTCCCCCAGGAGTATGTCTGTCTGTTGGTCACTGGACAAAGACGACATACGTTTACAGTCAGTGCCAACAGCTAAGCTCATTTTTATAGATAGTCTTAAGTTATCAGCATCCTCTGCCACTATGACCACATAAGCAGACTAAGGGGTACTTTGTATTTACCATAGCCAAAGACATTGATCACCTAGGAGACACGGCCAATATGTTGTGAGCCAGGCTTGGTCTGCAAGGCCCCCGGCTCACTGTCATGTCATTGAAGGCATTCACATAGGACTTTTGTTCTCACGAGAGAAACGAGGGTCTTTCATTCCCTCCACTCTAAGGAGTGACTATTGCAAACACTTCGTTTTTTCTCGAAGTCAGAAGACACAGGATGTATTTGTCTCATGTAAGTTTATAGTCTTTAAAGAAAAGAATGCCATTTTCCCACTCTCTTTAACTTGTGTGATTCTTTATACCACAGGATGGCGATGTTAACTGGTTTCTGTAGGGATTAGTGGCAGGACTTATGTACTATGTTTGAATGTGTGTTTGGTTGAGGACCGGGGACCATTGTCACTAAATTCTTACAATTGTTGGAAGAAATAACCCCTACATGTGTCATGTAACAAAACTCACTAGATTAGGTTATGCAAAGATGTCAGACATTCAGTGTTGGTGGCAGTAACCAAATTTGTTGTAATTTGATTAATGCCTGTTTGATAGATATCCTTTGGGAATAACGTATCTTGGGTCAGCAGTTTCTTTAAAATGTACCATATTTTGTTTGTGAGAGAAGGTTGGTTACCATTATTTCTCCTAGGAAATTAATTATTTCTTATAGGTTTTTCTCGTAAATCTTCTAAAATAACATTTATTGTCAGGTTTTGGAGCCGTGTTACTCCTAGCTGCTCGATCAGCTTCTTTTGGTACTAGTACATTGGATTCTGTTCTCAGATGTTTCTGAGGCATTATTTGGGAAGCATATAAATAAAAAGATGTTTGCAGGGGTATAGCTATATTATGCCCCAGTTTTATATGTCAGTAGTAATGTGTTTAAGCTACTTAGTTTATTAACCTCTATTTGTGTGCCTCTCTAACCTTTTTTCTTCCCAGGTGATACAGGAAACCAAAATGACACGCCCATTGAGACAGCTATGACCCTGCCAAGTCAGGCCAGAGTCAACACGCACACCATCACAACATTGAAGCTGTTAGACTACAGGTTTGTAGCGGGGAAGGTTCTTGTTACAGTTGCTTTTGAAGGTTGCAAGGAATCGTCCAAGTGTTATATAGAGTGAAGGACAGAGCTTATGGGCCTTGTAGGATAGATTCTAAGAGATAATTGAGGCAGAGATCAGAACACTTAAGTCAGAAAGGAGACCCATTCTGTTATTTAAAGTTGCCCTCCCTGTTCTATGAAGGAGCTGGAAAACATTCCCAAATTTATTTTTTCTTAATTTGTTGTGTGATAGAAAAAAATGTGTTAAGAATAGCTAGTGTGGCACGGTGGCAAACCCCTTGGATTCTGAGCCAGAAGAACTGAGTTCCAATCTACCCTCCGCCAGGCGTGCCCTTCAACTCTCTAGGCCAATCTCCTCCTTTGTCAATTTAGAAGGGATGCCTTTGGACATCTCTTCCACTTCTAAATCTCGGGTCTTTGAATAAAATCTGCTGTTTACAAGAGTCCTTTTCAGGAATAACCCATCCTAGAGTATGACTTGAGGAAATAATATCCATGATATTAAGGTGCTTTCTTTTGTGGATGTCACCATGAAGCACCTAACCTGAAATGTAATTACAAAGTTACTGAGGTTTTCTATTGACTTAGAAATTGCTTTTTGATATATCCCAGCATTTCACAGTTGGAAGCAGTACATCCAAGACTTGCCCAAGAGTGGCCAATGGGAGTTTCTCCAGCTTGTAGTGAAAGGTGTCCAGTGAGGGGGGGCCGAAGCAGCCCCAGGCAGCCCATTTCCCTTGTGTACAGTTCTCCTCAGTCAGGAATTTGACAGACAGGTCTCATGTCCTTTTTTGGTGTCTGGTCTGTTTGGAACCAGACTTCTTCAGCCATTTCTTAGATGGCGTGATCTTGAGTCCCTTCACCACTGTGACCATTTTTCTGCAAACAGTTACTGCCAAGTCTATAGACACAAGTATTAGAACAAAGCAGTTCAGTGGAAAAAAATTAGCCTTTAGAACCAGAAGACCCGGGTTCAAATTCCACCCTTGATACTTGTAACTGTACAACCTTGGCAGTTCACCCGCCCTCCCTGGGCCTCAGTCTCCTCATATGTAAAATAAGGCTATGGCGCTAGATGCCCCTTGAGGTTTCTTCTAGCTCTGTATCTGTTGTTGGGTGCTATCCAGGCTCGATGGCAAGGCCTCTTGAGAAAAGCCTTTGAATTTCTTTCTGATTCTGTGCTCACTGAACACCCCTTCTACTAATCTAACATTTTTCGCTTCCTAGTGACTTAGCCACCAGAAAAGGAGGACCTGTGTAGAAGGATCAGACCCCACCTCATAGGCCAGAGAGATCTTCCTTTGTGAATTAATAATTCATGTGTATATGTGTGCATATGCATTGCATAGATGTGTGTTTCATATCTATATTTGTATATATTGCATATATTTAATGTGCCTTTCATAAGGTTTTGAATCACCTCAGGCTGAAGTGACCTTGAGTTTTTCTATCAGCAAAGCTGGGAATGGAACCCTAGAGCATAAGTGAAGGCATAGCAATTATGGGTTTATTCACGACTCTCATTTAGTCAAGTGTCAGAAAATATGAAGCCCCTGCTTTGTACCAGGAACTGCGCTAAGTGCTGGGGATACAAAAGAGGCAGAAAACAGTCCCTGCGCTCAAGGAGCTTACAGTCTACTTCTGTTCTTGTCCTGTTCTTACCTCGCCCATACCTATACCTTTATACCCACTTATTTCTTAAGAACCTTCTCTAATGCACAGCTTTTTAAGCAGTACATCTTCCATTGTGGCCACAGTAACTCTCAAGAACCAACATAGCGATCTCAAGAGGGGCTGTGACCTGGGTCACAGAGAAAGGAGCCCTTGGAGCATCCTCACAGTTTTCTCAAGTATCAAAACAAGTGCTATTCTCATGACAAAGATGTCAGAAAGGAGCGCTGAGCCGAGGATGTGCATCAGCAAATAGAAGTTTGTGGACCTAATTTCCGTACGTCTCCAACAAGGTCCTGCTTTTTTCTCTGACTCACAGGTAACAGTCCGAGCTCCCTCCATTGGATTTTGAGAGCTGTGGCCTGGAGCTCAGCCTTCAGCCAAACTGGTGACAAGCGTCTCCAGACTTAGCCTGGACAGCAGACGAAGTCTGCCAGAGAGCCTTAGCCTTTCCAGCTTGGTAGGACCTGTTAAAATATGTGAGAGCCCCATGGCCTTTAGTGGGCCTTTCCATGGTGCTTCCCTTCTCTGATCCCCCTTGCTTAGGACCTTTTCCCTCCGACATCACACTTTTTCCTTTTTGCACTTTTCCTGCATTCTTGTGTATTGTGATGATCTAGGTATGTCCCATTCCCCCAATTAGGGTAAAGGCTGTCAGATCTCTTCTGGAATGGCATTCTTTGTACACAATAGACACTCGATAAATGTGTAATTATTACTGCCACAAACTTTAAGCACTTTCTTTGTGAAAGAGACCGGGCTAGGTGTGGGGGACAAAAAGACAAAAATGAACAGTTTTTCAGAGAGCTTACATTCTGTTTGAGGGGTGCAACATGTCTGGAAGTGAGTAAAGCTGAAGTAGTATACAGAGTAACAAACTGAGAGGTAGAGACTCTTTTTTAAATTTTATTATTTATTTATTTTGGGGGGGGAGGAGACTATTAAAGTGGGTGGAGGGAGGGAGGTGGCTCTGAGCCGTGCTTTGGAGGAAGCTGGAGTTTGGGGATTCTGCATCAGGATGAAGAGGGACTTCATTGTCCACATGGTGGGGGGCGGGGAAAGACATGAGCCAAGTCTCTTTTCCTGGATCATCCTTTTTCCCCACTGTTGGATTTCTGCCCACTCTGGACAATCCAGCCAGAAGAGAGCCTTCCCAGAACCTCCCTGGCAGAGTGACCTCAGGTAGCGTTCCTCTGTTTGCTCTTAGCAGATGACGCTGTTTTGTATTCATTGTCTGTGGATTGTGTAGGTTCTCTGTGGGTGTTTGCCATGACCCCTCTCCTTGGTGAGCTCCAAGAGGGCAGACACCTCCTTAGCTGAGCACCTGGTCCTCAAATGTGGGTTGATCCTGACTGAACAAGAGAGGCCGAGAGAGGCTTGGCAGCTGACAAAGGCTCATTTACCAAAATGATCTTGCTTTTTGTTTTTTAGTGAGAAACAGACAGCTCTGATTCCTGATGAAGTATTTGATGCTGTAGGAAGCAACATTATCACTTCTGTGAACTTCAGTAAGAATCATCTGAATGAGATACCAAAAAGGTAGGGACTGGGCTTCTGAGAGCATTTCTGTGGAGTTGTGCACAGAGGTGGAGGACACCTGCTGATCTTGGGGGCCAGAATGCTTTCGTTTTCATCATCTCCTCCATTAAAATGACTTTCTGCCTTTCTTTGTATTCTCAGAGCTTAGCACAACATCTGGCAAAAAGTAGCTGTTTACTAAACGCTTACTGGCTGACTGACTTTTTAATGCTTGCTTTCATCTTTTTTAAGTGGAATTTGGCTTGCTCTTAGTAAGTTATCAACTGGAGAAATGGTAACAAGCTTCTTTTCATGAGACCTAAGGATCCTCAAGAGAAGCTATTTACTTTTTGCACATTTTACTTTTAAAATGTGTATTACAATTAGTAACTAAATGTTTTACCTGCTTTTTTCAGATGCAATATTAGAAGAAAAGTCCAAGGAATTAACCATTGTTCAGTCCATGTTAATCCATGGGTGGTATTAATATTTCCATTGGTTTTGTAAAATTTCAAATAGCTGCCACCCTGGAGAAAGATTATCTTGAGCTGCCAACAGTATGGGAGAGATAGACCCATGTTACTGTTGTTAATCCTAAAAAATTCATCTTCATTTCCAGATTTCCCAGATATAATACAATTTTCTGCACCCTCTCTAGTGCTCAATAAAATTTCATTCATGATGATAAATGTAAGTCAGCGTTCAGATAGCTGTGTGCCAGGAAAATGGCATGTATGACATCTGATTGCCGAGATCAGCCCAATTCCTTTAGTATAGAGATCTGACATTGAGAAGAATTGAAGAACATTTTAATTTGCCTCCCATTTCCATTTTCAGAGGGTCATTTGGGCTGATGCCATGTTGGGTTCTGAGTCCTTGACCAGACTGTCAATCAGTAAACATTTCAGAACATACTATGTGCCCAGGCACCGGGCTATCCTCCAAGGATACAAAAGGAGGCAAAAGTCGGTCCCTGCCCTCAGAGAGCCTACAATCTAATGGAGCAAGCTATATACAGGATAATAATAAATAATAAATATTATTTTAATATTATTTTAATAAACATGATAGTTGTATATTATATAATAAAAACAATAATTTTAATAAATAATAAAGCAAGCTACATACAGGATAAATAGAAAATAATTAGCAGAGGGAAGGCACTGGAATTAAGAGGACTCGGGAAGGCTTCCTGTAGAAGGTGGGATTTGAGTTGGGACTTAAAGGAAGCCGGGGAGGTCCAGAACTGGAGCAGAGGAGGGAGAGCATTCCAGGCATGGGGGAGAGCAAGAGAGAACCTCCAGAGCTAAGAGAGGAATGTCTTGTTCATGGAATAGCCAGGATACTGGTGTCCCTGGATGTGTGGTGAGACCACATCTGGCCTCAAACACTTACTAGCTGTGTGACCCTAGGCCAGTCACTTAACCCTGGTTGCCTCAGTTTCCTTATCTGTAAAATGAGCTGGGGAAGGAAATGGCAAACCGCGCCAGTGTCTTTGCCAGAAAACCCCAAATGGGGTCACGGAGAGTTGGACACAACTGAACAACAAAATAGCTCCAAGTATGTAAAAGGAGGCAGAGAAATAGTCCCTGCCCTCAGGGATCCTACACTCTGACGGGGGAGACAACACACAGAAGGAAGCTGAGAAGGGAGGTGGAGGTTGGGGGCCAGCAGGCCACAGTGGCCAGGAAGGTGAAACTGGACTGAGCTGTGTGGAGAGTTGAGAGAGTTCTGAGGCCTCCCTGTGAAGGGAGGCTGTAGGAGCTTCTTACTCCCCCCTGCAGCCTTCCTGTCAGAGGGGGAGAGGAGGCGTTGAGTATCCAAGGCTGAGCCCGTCTGGATAGTGATGGGATTTCAGGTGCTCAGCTTATGCTGGGGGGAGGCAGGGGCTAGTACCCTATAGTCTGAACCAAGCATGGAGAGGCACTGGAAAGTTCATTTTAAATTTTTTAAAAAGTTAAATAATTCTTTTAGCATGCAAGGAATATTTTCATCAAAGCTAAGGAGATGAGAGGATTTTAGATTTCGGGGTCATTATGGGATCTGGTAGTCTTACAGATAACGTAACCAAGACCGACCGAGGGTATTGGTAGGAAGTGTCTGGTGCTGAATTGCTCTGTTCAGACCCACGTTATCTTAATTCCAAGCCCAGTGTTCTTTCTACGCTGACTGGACACTTGTAAGTCTAGGATGATATTTTGTATTTTTGAAAAAATAAAAAATTGTGAATTGTTTAAATGTTTGGGAAGAAGCATAGAAGTGCTTCACTTACTAAAAGTCGCTTAGCTGAAATGAATTTTAAGTGAAATTCTGTGTACTTTTGTTTCAGGATTGTGGAACTGAAGGCAGCTGTGTGTGATGTCAATCTCAGCTTTAACAAGCTTTCCTGTATTTCTGCAGAATTGTGCATGCTTCAAAAACTGACCCACCTGGACATCAGGTTTGCCTTGTTGGGGTAGTGGTCATGCTTGCCCTGGGAAGTTTTGCCATCTTTCTTTCATAGTTACATTTTCCAGATATTCAAATTAATCTTTGAATTGTGGCTAGACTAGCTTTACAGGGGTGGGGAATCTGCGGCCTCGAGGCCACATGTGGCCTTCTAGGTCCTTGGGTGTGGACTTTTGACTCGAGTCCAAGTTTTACCGAACAAATCCATTTATTAAGGGGTTTCGTTCTGTAAAGTTTGGGTTTAGTCAAAGGGCTGCACTTGGGGACCTAGACGGCCACATATGGCCTTGAAGCAGGAGGTTCCCCACCCCTGATCTAGACCTTAAAGGTCCTGTTGGGGGCTTTGTTAATTGAACGTGCATTAAACATGGATGCCTGGTTACAGCCAACAGTAGTAGAGCTGAGAGTTGAGCTGAGCCTACAAACTATTCAGCTCTTTACTAAAAGAACTTCAGAAACGATGACAGCAACATGGCGCTAATTTCCTGTTGATCCAGGTGTGTCCCATAGAGATAAACACCTAGGAGGAGACGGGTTTATATTAAGAGAGGATTCTCCACTGGACAAAAGAGGCTCTGGTCCAGTGAAACCATAGCGATCGTTGTTTATGGGCTGCTTTTCAGCACAGCCGTCTGGTAGAGGTGGCAGGTGTGTGCTCAGGGAGGTTCAGGAGGCAGTGGCTGTGACCCAGAGCAAACAGTGACTCACTTCCTTTTGGGGTGGCTCATTCGTGTTCGGTGCTTTAAAGAGACAGGAGGAGAAAGGTAAGGAGGGACCAGGGACCATGGAAGGGGTATTCCTTCCTTCCTTCCTTCCTTTTATCCTTAGTGGGCCCTGTCATCATCAGCCTCCTCTGAGATGAAAGGGTGCAGGGCATGTGCTGAGGGGCTCAAGCGATTGTTGTAGGATCTGACCCTGTTTTCAGAAACAAAAGAAATGGAAAGCTCCTCTCCACTTAGGACCAGAGATGACCAAGTAGGAAGCAATTCTTCCCCATCCCCTCCGGTAGAGTTATTCCTACACGAATGGGGTCCGGTACGGGCTGGAAGGTCTTCCAGTAAGATCCACTTTCTCGCCAATCAGCACTTCCCACTGTGTCCCAGCTGTGTTCTTCTCCCGCAGCGTTTTCTGGTCCCTGCTTCCTTGAGGTGTGATTCCTTCCCCGACTGACCTGGGCCCTTTTGTTTTCCCTAAAGTCATGGCAGGTAGACTGAGGAACCTTGATAGACTGCTGTGAAAGCAAACTTCTTATTAACTCTGAAAGAGGAAGCACAGAATGGCCTTGGGAGGAATGGGGCTGAGACCGCTGCCCTGGACTCTCACCTTCCTGAGCTCTCTTTCAGTCAGGAGGTGGCAAAAGTGGCTAAGTTCAAGGGACCTGAGGGCCAGCCCACCCCCGTACCCTGTCCCTTCCCCCAGCCAGGAGGGGGGGATGTCAGGCTGGGCCTCGCCTGGTCACCGTCTTGTTCCTGTTGGGTTACTCGGTAAATCTCTCCCCCTTTCTCCCCTCCCCTCTGCCCCTGCCCCTTCCCCTGTCTTTCTCCCCACAGAAATAATCTTTTGGCCTCTTTGCCTGAAGAGATGGAAGCCTTGGGGAAACTGCAGACTCTCAATCTGTCCTTTAACAGGTGAGTATCCTGGCCGATGACCAGCTCGAGGCTCCAGTGCTGGTCTGCAGAAGTGGGTTCTGTCGACTCCACTCCGTTCTCCCTCCAGCCTGTGAGCAGCTCAGAAGACTTGAGGGAGCATCCTTTGGGGTGCCTCTCTGTTCATCAAGGCCGCGTGGGGGGGTGTGTGGGGCACGTGTTGGCCCGTGTTGCTGAGGGCAGAACAGAGAAGCAGAAGCACACAGCCAGAAAGGGTCAGGGCCAGCACTTGAACCCAGATCTTGCTGGTTCCAAGTCCAGTTCTCTTCCGTCTCTTTAGAAGTAGCCATGGGGTGCTACGGTGCCCAGAGCGTTGGACCTGGAGTTAGGAGGACCTAGCTTCAAATCCAGCCTCAGCTAATGGTTATTAACTCTGTGACCTCGGGCAAGTCATTTACGCGATCTGCCTCAGTTTCCTGAGCTGTAAAATAGGCGTCCTAGTAGCATCTACCTGGCAGGGTTTTCATTTTGGTCCTCTTGGAGAACAAAGGACAACAGCCAACCTCATCAGTCTGTAATTGTGACTTCCCCGCGATTCTCACCCGGGGCATGGAGTCACCAAGCTTCTCCTTGTGGCCAGTCTTTTCCTCTTGTAATCTAGTAAATACTCCTTTTGTTTTTGATTTTCTTCCCCACTTAACAGTATTTCATTTTTGTCAGTTACATGAGGTGACATCTGTAAAGTCCTTAGCACAGCACCTGGCACATAGTAGTTGCTTTATAAATGCTTCTTCCTTTTCGTCACTTATACCATATTCACAACTCATAGATGGCAGGGTTTTTTTTAAGTGCTTTTCACACTAGTTAAAAATAACACTTCCTTTTCTGTTTCAATGTGCTGTTTGAAAGCAGTGAAGTAGTCGGCATTGCATTTCTTTGGGTTCATATTAAAAGGCACACATTTTGTTTTCCTTTCATTCTGTTGTTTTCACCTATTCAGAAAGGACAGATTCCTTCATATTTAAAGGAGGAAGCTAGATTTCAGCACAGTCCACATTCTTTATAATCTCCTTTTTGACCACAGTCTGTCATCTCTACGTAGACCTAGGGCCGAGGGCAGTCCTCCAGCCCCTACAGAGGCAGCTGTGCTTGCTCCGTAGGGCAGCTGCCAGCTGAGAATTTAGCAGAGCACTGGTCACAAGTGCTAAGTAATTGGGAAAGTCACCCTCTAAGCAAAGGCTGGGGCCAGGTAGCCAAAGGTTGGCCTTTCACGCTTGGAGTTCTTATTACCTCCTCCCTTCTATTTTTCAAACTGGTTTCCCCTGCCTCTCTCTCTTATTCTCTCTTTTCCTGTTTACTGATCTTTTTCCCTCTCTGTTCTTCCCATCTTGACCCCATTCTTTTTCCTCTCTTTAATTCTGTCTCTTTTAGGTCATCTGGAGCTTTTGCATATTTTCATATTGTGTTAAGTAATTTTTATTTTCCCAAAACAGCTCCACCTTCTGCAGCAATACTGCATGTTCCTAATCTTTTTTAGTTGTGTCTTATTTTTCCCTCTTTCTGGATCCCAGTATACAATCAGTAAATAGATTTTTCTCAATTGTTCCTTCATTATATAATTTACAAAGGTGCTGTGCCCTATGAGCAAAGCAGAATTGAAGTAGCTCAAAAGAAACGTAAGATGTGCAAATGTAGAGAATCCACCCCAAAGGTTCACGTGGATATTTGTGCCTGACCTGTGGTAGAGCCTTCTGAGCTCGTCTTGGTCTGATCAGCTGCAGTCAGACACACTGTAACTGGAATCTAGCAGAGTGACGTCATTTCAGTCCTTTTGGAGAACAGAGGACAATGGCCAACCACCTCAGTCTGTGACTTTTAATTCCCAATAATTATCATCTGGGGCGTGGAGTCACCAGTTTCTCTTTGTGGCCAATCTCTTCCTCTTATAATCTTGTCGATATTCTTTTTTTGTTTTTGATTTTTTTCCCCACTTAATAGTATTTTATTTTTTCCAATTATATGCAAAGATAGTTTTCAACATTCACTTTTACAAGATTTTAAGTTCCAAATTTTTTCTCCCTTCCCAAGACAGCATGCAATCTGATAGAGACTATACATGTGCAATCATATCAAACATGTTTCCACATTAGTCATGTCATAGAAGAAGAGTCAGGGCAAAAGGGAAAAATCGCAAGAAAGAAAGAAAAAGAAAACAGTATGCTTTGATTTGCATTCAGACTCCATAGTTTTTGTTTTTTTTTCATGAGTCCCTTAGAATTGTCTTAGCTCATTGCATTGCTGAGAAAAGCTAAGGCTATCAAAGTTGACCATGACACAATGTGCTGTTACAGTGTACAATGTTAACCTGGTTCTGTTCACTTCATTCAGCATCAGTTCATTTAAGTCTTTCCAGGTTTTTCTGAAATGTGCCTACCCGTCATTTCTTATAGAACAGTCGTATTCCATTACATTCCTAGACCCCAACTTACTCAGCCATTCCCCAATTGATGGGCAACCCCTTAATTTCCAATTCTCGGCTACCACAAAGAGAGCTGCTATAAATATTTTTGTACATGTGGGTCCTTTTCCTTTTTTTATTATCTCTTTGGGATATAGACTTAGTAGTGCTATTGCTGGGTCAGAGTGTATGTACAGTTTGATAGCCCTTTGGGCATAGTTCCATATTGTTCTCCAGAATGCTTGGATCAGTTCACAACTCCACCAGTTTTCCCACATCTTCTCCAACATTTATCATTTCCTTTTTTGTCGTGTTAGCCAATCTGATAGGTGTGAAGTGGTACCTCAGAGTTGTTTTAATTTGCATTTCCCTAATCAATAGTGATTTACAGCATTCTTTTCTGTTTTTGAGACCTGTGGTTTCATTAGTGTAAGGAACTCCCTGTGCGCAAACTACACCAGTGCAGGTAGGGAGGTGGCCAAGTGATTGTCTCCTTTGCTTCAAGCCCTGAGAGCTTGCGTGCTTTCCCATAGTTCATGCAGCCAGTGTTTGTCCTGGGTGGGATCAGTGTCCAGGTCTTCCAGGACCAGCCAGTTCTGGTCATGGGCCAAGCTGTTTAGCCTGGTATTTAAGGCCCGTGGGATCTGTCTCCAGCCTGCTTTTCAGACTTTCTCTTCTGCCACTCTGTTTAATGAAAACTTTCTTTTAGACAGATATTGGTCTCTGTTCTGTGCCTTATGGATCCCCCCATCTAAGAAATTATTCAGGCAGTAAGAGGTCTGCCTGTCAGTGGAGGGAGGAATTCCTGGGGTCTAGGAAGGCTTCGTGAAGTAGATGCTCTGGAGCTGGGCCCAGGAGCCTGAGGAGCGTGGGCCGGGACCGGAGGGAGAAATGCTCACGTCTCTTCCAGAGCACACACCCCTCCAGGGTGGGGGGCTCAGCTCTTCTCACTGTTCCTAACATGTAATAAATACTGAAAAATGAATGCTTGTTTGTTTTGTTAAAAGTAAAAGAGCTTTTGAAAGAAAGGGTTTTAAAGTTTAAAGATGATGTCTTTTCATTTCATTTGTCCATCTTAAGAATTTATTTTGGCTTCTGGAACAACCAGATTGAGTCTCTTCACAGGTTCAGAACGTTCCCCAGCATTCTGTATCGGCTCCGGACTCTCGAAACTGTCCTCCTCGGTAACAATCAGGTTGGATCTGTGGACCCCCTGCAGCTGAAGCAGATGGACAAGCTGGCCACTTTGGACCTTCAGAACAATGACCTCCTTCACATCCCGCCCGAGCTGGGCTGCTGCGTGAGTCTCAGGTGAGGCCAGCTCCTCGTGGGCAGTCTGCGGTCTAGTTGCTGCCCTTCCTTGTTGGTTGAAGGCAAAGCCTGGTTCTTTGGGGCCGATTTCTTGCCACAGGTGAGGTGAAGGAGGAGGGGCATCCCTGGGGAGCAGTGACCAGGGGCCGATAGGCTAACTGTGGCCTTTTTTCTTTTTTAAAGAAACGCAGTAACAATTCTCAAGGACTGGGGCACTGATGAAGGTTTTAGAAACCAGAGTTCAAAATGAAGCTGTAAGTTTTTAATTTAGACTAGTCCCCGGACCCAGACCGGGAGCAGCGCTTCATCAGACCCATCGACCGAAGGACTGGCCTTCCACAGCAGCGTTCAGTGGGCGCCTGCTTGTTGTCTTATTTTCTGCTTCATCTTTTCATAGGCAAGAGAAAAGCCTAAAGTTTCCAAGTAAAACTTAGGAATCTTTCTTTGGCCCCAAATATCCCATTTCATTTTAATTCTAGGGTAGTTGGAGGCAAGCATGCCAGGCCTGGGCAGGCAGTGCTGAGTTTAAAACTAGCTTCAGACACTAGATAGCTGTATGACTCTGGGTAAGTTTGCCTGTTTGCCTCAGTTTCTTCATCTGTAAAATAGGGATAATAGCACCTCCCTCCCAGGGTGGTTGTGAAGATCAAATGAGGCAATCATTTTAAAGGACTTAGCACCATGCTGGGTACACAGGAAGCACCAGATAAATGTTAGCTATTTTTATTCTCTTTGCTTTTCTTCCTCCTTTCCAATTTTGAGTTGAAATTGAGTGTTTTCATTCATATAACCCCCACAGTTGTCAATAAGAAGAGCAATCCTAAACATTTGATTCTGGGCTAAAAACAAATGACAACCTGGAGACTTATATAACACACCAATGTTTTCTGAAAGGGTTCCTGTTTATTGGGCTCGATGTTCTATTTGAGGAAGGCTTAGGGATGGGTTTTGGTCTCAAAGGAATTTTTCAAAATAATCGTGGGGTAGTTTTCTCTTTCTGAATGTGGAGAGTCATTTTGACTTTCCAGGTGGAATTTAATATCAGAGCAGTATTGCATGTGAAGCATTTTTCTCTCTTTCCCCACTGTGTGGATGTGTATTTTTTTTTATTAGATTAAGGAAAAGAGACTGGTCAGGTGTGCTCTGGTGGCAACAAATTCATTTTGCTGGTGTTGCCTTGATGAGGTGACATCTCTGTCTTCCAAATAGAACCAGGGGGTTGAGATACTTGGGTCGTCTTCATTCTCAGTCATCGGCTCTGGCCTGTGAAGAAGAAGGCACGTCTCTGCCCACCAGTTGGGGAGCATCTCCCCTCACTCAGCAGGGAGGGATCGGAGTGGGAGTCATTTCAAAAGGATTTCCTGTGACCCCTCGCGCCAGGAGGCCCCAAGACCTTTCCCCTGAATAACAGAAATTGTCCAAGCAGCATTTTTGAAATTGCACAGATGGAGCATTTGCCAGCACCAGTTATATCTCAGCGTATGCCAGAGTAACTTTGTTTTAAACCATGTTAGACAACAGCATTCAACTGCTCATACATGCTTAGACTTTGTTGCTTATTGCGTCTTCATTATAGTTGTACAACTTAACACATGTATTAAAAGATTATATTTTTACAACTGGAAGGGACCTGAAGAGATTATTTGGTCCAGTCTCCTTATTTTACATTTGAGGAAACTGAGGCTGAAAGTGGTTAAGACACCTTCCCAGCATCGCACAGGTAGCAGGTATCAGAGTGAGGATTAGAATCCAGGTTGTCTGATTCTAGATGCAGCTCTGTGTCCGTTGCACCATAAGAGAATGATCCATGTCTTACGTCTGAATAGGAAGGGAGCCTAAACTTTCTAGGAATTGACTTGAAACTGCCTGATGAATTCACATTGTGAGGAGGGGGCTTAGGATATTCTCAGACCTCACAGATGCCCAGCTTCGCCACACCACCTCCTGCTGCTCCCCCACATTGCCGCAAAGCAGCAGCTTGAATGGCGCTGCACTGGTGCTCGATGTAATTGATTCGTGTCTAGAGGAGGCCCATGTCTTGGAAGCTGCACCATCGCTTGGGATCGTGACGGTACTGACGTGGAATTTGTGTCTGTTCCGCCCCCTCCTCACACCTCGAGATGCTTATGGACAGTTTGGGGCGTCTTCAGTTCTGTGGTTGATCCTTTGCTTCTGGGTTGGGAAACTTAAGACCAGATATTTGATGGTACGCATGTGTGGCAGAGCCAGGACACAAATCGTTCATTTTGGGGAATGCCAGAGAACCATGACATGAGCCCCTTAATTCTGTCCACAAGGAAATAGGGTACAAGATGGTAACAGTGGTGATTCTGGTTCTACCACCTGTGTGACCTTGGGCATGTCACTTGAAAACAGAGTGAGGGTTTAGATGGTCTCTGAACACTCTCTCGGTCCTAAATCAATGAACTATGAAAAGACTGAAAATCAGTGAATCGGTGAAAAACTAGAAAAGTGTCCCGTATCCTCTAATTAGGTGTAACGTATCTTCAACAATAGAAGAAAGAGGCAGCAGCAGTATGTGTATGAAATGGTGGGGATGCATTGGTCAGTGAAGGTTGGAGGGGGAGGCATACATTATCTTAATTAAAGATAATTTAATATTAAGTACAAGTGGCTAGAGAGAAAAAGGCCCTCAGTCATTCCAGATTTGGGGTAAATTGACCCTAGTCTTGAGTTTGTGCCCATTAGTAGAGCATCTATGAAATGAAAATCAAAATTTAGTTAGATTTTGATCAGATGCCTGGTTTCAAAATGGGGATTGAAAAATGTTATTTTAAAAATGCTCTATTTAAGTTTTGGAGAGGGAAATCCATCTCACTGAAAGTAAACAATCCCTGGTTTCTCTCCTTTCTCCAGGACCCTTCTGCTGGAGGGGAATCCATTCCGAATTCCTCGAGCAGCCATTTTAGCTAAAGGAACAGATGCTGTCCTGGAGTATTTAAGAGACCGCATTCCTACTTAATTGGAATTTTGTAATCGTCGGCCAGCTAATGGATTTGCATGCTTCGGAGAGCTGGGGAACATTCAAAATCTTGTCTGAGAGCTGATTTGCTATACTTCATCTGATGGTTTCTTCAAACAGTGTATCAGTTATTATTGCTGTGATTTATCTGGGGCATGAAACAAATGTTCTTACAATCTTATTACCACTCAATGTTATTTTTACATTGAAAACCATGTATAACAACTTTATAGTGATTACTACAGCCTTCTTGAATGTTTATACATTCATTCTTAAAAGTTTTGAAATTTAAAAAAGGTAATAGTGGTTTCTATAACTGAAATATCATTCCTTTTTAAAGTTGATTTTTTTTATAATGACAAAGCATTTTTGTAAAAGATGAGGGGTGGGTTTTTTTTTTTTAACGTTTTGTTTTATTATATGTGTGTATATGTGTGTGTATGTTTGGACCTTTATATGGGAGTATTTTGTTATCTTTCCTTGTGTTATGTGGGAAAAGTTATAACAACATTTGTTGATAATACTAAGAATTTGTGATGTAAAGTTTCAAGGACATTCACTGCCCTGGTTTTGATGCCAGTGCTGGGCAGATCAGTTGACCTCTCAGTACCCCAGGCAGCCCTCTGAAGACTGGAGGTTCTGTGAGTAACCCATCAATGCTGGCTTGGTGGATGGAGATCCCTACAACAACCTACCTTCAAGAGCAGATTCACTTTGTGTGATTTTTAAAATAATTCTGTTTGCAGCATTTATTTTCAGATGCTGAGAATCCATCTTTCCCTGTTGTGTATAACTCTTTTTGATCAAAGCATTTACTGAAGAAAAACATATGGTATATCCCATAGGGAAAGAGCTATTAGTGAACCCAGCTTGGCTTTTTAGTTATTTCCTTATGCCCTCTTACTCCTGAAGTTGTTGTATCATGCCCACTGCAAATTAAAGTATTTTGGTTGCATCTCAGCAGCTCAGTGTTTTCTGTAATCTGTTGGGCGCCATCCTTTGTACCAGCCTTCAGATTTGGTCACTTCTGGATGTTCTGGGACTTAGATAAAAACTCTGAGGTACTAGAAGGATTTTGAGTGTTTCCCCTTCTGAACATGCACCTTCAGAAACTCCCTAGAGAGTGCTTGGCAACTGTCTGCTGTGCAGCTTTGCATGTCTTAATAACATCATTATAACATTGAACTTGTTGATAGAGTTGAGACCCCAATTGGGCTAATACAGAATATCTTCTTTTAAAGAGCTTGATTTAAGGAAGCTAAATTTAAAAAGAAGATTCATGGTCTGTTCAGCTCTTGACATATTCAAAATAGGATCTCATTTGGGTAGATTTCAGAACCTTTTTTTTTTTTGAAAAAAAAATGAAGATGAAAGTACTTATTATTTATGGATAATGCATTTTTCAAATCCAAGTTACAATTTTTATCTTACCTAGGGGAAACGTGACTGTCCATACCACCTGTGTGGTCAGCTTTACATTAAACAAAAGACACTTTACAATAAGGTGAAATTTTATTATTTGTACAATAAAGAGACTTTATGTTATTCAAAACACTTTTTAAATACTGAAAAAGTTGGGTACACCAAAGCCAAAAAAAGGCTCTGCCGTACGCTGCACAGCATTGTCTGAGTCCCTGTATTTTGTGTATGTACAGAAAGCATCTTCACAATGCATTCGAGTCACCAATTAGTGTCAATACAGAAAGTCAAACTGGAAGGATACAGCTTGCGTGTGCAAATTAACAAGATCAGTGAGATCACCAAATCTGGCAATTTAAAATTGAGTTTTAAAGGACATTTTTGCACATAAAATGAAGCAATTCTCGAGTTCAGTATGTTTTAACTGCAAAAAAAAAAACCCATTAAATACATTCACAATCTATGTTAATAAAGTAGTAAATAGTTCATCCAGCTTTATTTACAAGATGGAGTTAAACTGAAAAGTACAGTTAGTTGTTTTAATATAGCAATCTGTAACACATACAAAAATGACAAGTATTTATATATCATTGAAGCTCAAAATCACAATTATCTCAAAATATTAGTTACAATACAGCCATTTCCATCATATTTAAACATGTCCTCAAATAACTTTTTTATAAAATGGTAAAATTTTTATTAAAGTAAGCTATTTGTTTTGAATTGGCTACAGTACTTACTCCCAAATAGAAAACTGTTGTTTTGTTTTTCTCGCAGAATTGCTAGAGAAAGCCACCCGTGTAAAGCCAAGAGACCGAAAAGGCCCCGATTTAAAAAGATCCGGCCTCTTGGGCTTTGGGAGAACTGGTCAGTAAAAGCTTTACAAGGGGAGTGTCCGGCTGGAGTCTCTGCAGTGAAATGACATGCACTAATATACAGGATGTCAGAATAAGTCAGTGGAGACTACCCTGCACATAGAAATGTTCACGGAGATGACAAAAAGAAGCCTTAAATAAGGAAGCAAGCGTAAAATCTGGCCTTCCCTCCTTGATTCCTCTGCTCCCACATTGCCCTGACACCCTAACAGCAGCAATGGGGAGGCTCCTTCTGTCAGTGCTCCAGCTGCAGCAACACCACACACCAGGCGCCAGAAGCCTGGCTAGAAACCACTGTCTGAAGCTAGCCTAGCATCACTCCTGAAGGCAGCAAAGTGTTTCACCCAATCAATCATGCTCTTCACCCCCAATTTACAAAACTCGATCGCTGGCCGTGGGAAAGCAGAGGTGAAACGGGAAGTGTTGGCCATGGGATTATGGGGAGGCCAACCACAGTCATGGGGCATAAAGCAGGAGAAGGGAGATGATCTCCAGATGCCTTTTTCCAACACTGAATTTGGAAACACCCAGTGCTGAAGAAGGGGAAACAGCATCCTCCTTGCCTGTGATCGTTGGGCCGAAAGTTGATTCTAGTTTTGTGATTCTGGTCTGGCTAGGAGGAGCTCCCAGGGCCCAACACTGGTTTATTAATCCAGGGGTTTGCCCTTGGGAGATGAGAGAGGGCAGAAAAGAAATAACTTAGAAGGTTCACTCTTGTAGGTTATTTGTTAGGATCCAAACAAAGAATCTGAAAAGATTCGCAATACAGCGTTCTACTTAAAAAAAAAAGTTTCCTATCACACTAAAAAACAAACAAAAAACAAGATAATGTTACCTTTGGTCCCCCAGCTCCTCTCCACGAAGGATCAATGGAGAAACTTGGTTTCTTCTAACACCTACAATGTGGTTTCTATGTGAATTTTCAGGTCTCTTTTTTTTTTTTTCTGAAACCTAAACAGTAAAGCTAGGCTTCGTAGAGGCAGGAAATGGGACTTAGCAATAGGAGATGCCTATGAGCTCATAAAGTAGACAAGAGGAGTCAGCTAAGGGGACCCAAACTTACTTCTAAGGGCTCACTTAGGGACACCGCGTTGCTCCCCAGTCTTACTACTTGTGATGCTTGCGCATGGCCTGCAAGGCGAAATTGTTCAGTTGTTGAAAATAAAATTCATCACTAGTAAACAAGATAACAAACGGTTTTGTGTTCCCACTATGGGAAAGTTTCAACAGTCTTCAGCAGATGGATTTTCTTGGTTAGCCATAACAACAAAAGCCACTCCAGCTTTCCTGCCTAAGGAGCACTGTAACTGGGCTGGTGGGAAGGGGGAGATGAGGAAGCCCCGAGCTTGCTGCCCAGGATGGGGAGTTAAATGTTCATGTCCCTTTGTCATAAATTCATTGGTTCCTATCTGGCCGCTAATCAAGGGCCACTGCTAATCCCCATGATCTTAACTGCACGAGATAAATGCAGCAACGTCAAAGAAAATGCCCGTATCTGTGTGTGAGTGTATATACACATATATACAAACCTGAGTCGTAATAAAATTTATTTAATATATGAAAATAAGCTTTAAAGGGCCAAAAATACCTTTGTGCAATATAAGCAGCTAACATTTAAACTTCAGACAAGAATATTCATAAGCTTGTACATTCTATAAAGAACCAGCAAAATAATGAGCATCTGCATATGATAACTTTCCTAGCTACAGTCAAGACAATTGTATTTCATCGTTAGTGCTGATTCTATTTTCATTCCCCTGAATTCATTAAGGTTTTAGAGAACATGTTCAAGTATGGGATTTCTATGTTATAACTGGTGGGCATTTCCAGTGTTTCCTTAATGATCTGACGAGATCAAATTGCAAGGTTAGGTTGTGAAGGTGATGACGGCTACCAAATCACAAGGGGTAAAGCTTTTGAAGGGAATTCATAGGCTCTCCCAAAAATAAATATTGTGGAAGAGGATAAAGCCTGGTACAATGCATTAGGCGAAGGAGGGGTGAAGCCACACACGTTCCTAGACTTCCCTTCTGCAGGGAAACCGTTCCTCTAAATCTTATCTCCCCTTTTCCTTGAACCCTCATTTCCTTAGCTCCCAGATCGTTTTCCTAGTTTTTTTTTATTCCTCCCTAGGTCATGGGAAGCACCTTGTTCTTCCTCCCCAACCTACCCCCGCCCCCCACCAAACTGCAGCAATCTTGCTTCCAGCCCTGGGTCTGCTGCACACCCCAGTGCCACTTCTGAAACTCAGCCTTCAAATTCCTGCCTTCTTCAAGTCTTCCTCTCCTCTGTCTCTTCGTGTGGTAGAATTCAGCTATCCTGGGAGCTCCCATGTCTCCCCACCCTCCCCCCATGAGGATTTACCACTTAATTACACATTAGAAGTTCTACTCTGATATTCCAATCTCTGTGCACAACAAATCCTCCACTGACCAGTTCTTTCTAGCACTAGGGAGATGATTCTTGCCCTCTTCCCATCCTCTGGCATTTACTTACATATTCACATGTTGCATTGCCCAGTAGATTGTAAACTCTTTGAGGGCAGGGACAATTTTTCATTTCTAGCTTAGCTCCCCAGAACCCAACTCAGTGCCTTGCAGATGGTAAGTGGTCCTTATGTATCTGCTGGAATGAGTTGCAATGGAGAGTCACCTGAGATGACAGCCCACATGGTGGTCCAGGGCACAGTCAAGCACTGGGTGACTCCCAGAAGTTTCCCCAGGTCAGATCTGGAGTTTGCTTATAGGAGGAAGCCTGAGCCTTGGGGCTGTCCCATGCCAGATCCCGTGGCCAGAGTGACTGCCATTGGCCACGTTGGTAAATGGGACTTTGGAAGAGAGGAAGCTATCTAAGATTGGTGGCAGGCATTTCATAACTTCACATCTGTGGATGGGCGAGGAAAGGCATGGATATTCTGAGCTAGCGGGCAGCTGTCATTTGTTACCAGGATTGGAGAGGCAGAAATAGCTGGTGTGAGGGAGATGGCACTGCGCCCATGGACCATTGGTCTCTCCTTGTCTTTTTCCTTCAGCTTTTGCATTTGGATCATGAAGGCCCTGTCTTTATTGTGCAGAAAGCTAAAAGAGAT